ACATCAATCAAATTTAAAATCTGACCACAGATTGCTTTAGTTGGGGTTCCTTTAAACTTCAACTTGAATAAACATTTGTTCAATGTCCATTATTACAAGCAGAATCACATACAAATAGAGATCCAGCCTCAGATTAAAGAAGACCTGAGTTCAAGTATTGCCCATGTCACATGTTGGCAATATGACCCTAGGAAAAAAAAAACATTTAAATGCTTAGTGCTCTGGCCAACTCTCTAAAACCATAAGTTGCAAGAAGGCATCTAGCTGTGTTGAGAGAAAGAGTTCCCTCATCAAGTACTTCCCTACATCCAGTAAATCATCCTCCCTCCAAAATAATTATGTGCAGAGTTCTTGACAGAAAGATTATTTTAATTTTTCACTATGATAATTAGATGATCCAGGGACCTTGAAATCTATGTCAATGGTGCAAAGGCTCTACTATGTTCTATCTACCATGTTATAAGGCTTTGGTTACAGGCCCAGTGACAGACTTTGCAGTCTAAGGACCTGCCTAGGTAATTGCTGCAAGGCTGATCAACAAAATGTTGACTATAAAGTGACACATTTCTGTATTGATCCATGAACCGAACAAAACTATAAAATAGCTCTTAAATCTGTGCAGCCATCTCTTGCTCCTATAATGGCAGTGCCAGAATGGCAAAAAGTTGTCAGAGGGTACACACAATATCACACATTTTTTAAACTTATATTGGCATGTTTGGTTCAATGGGCAGTGGGTTGGCACATCATTGCCACAGCAGACCTATACCCTTTTTTGTTATAAATGAAGAAGAAAAGTTCCAAAAAGAAGTTGTTGCTAAATGCAGGACTGATTCTCAAGTTCTCCTCTGAGAGGCAAATAAAAGAGTCACAGGAGAAATAGGAAAGATTTGGAGTTGGAAGGGATCTCAGAAGCCATCTAATCTAAGCCCTTTCATTTTATAGATAAGAAAACCGAGGTCTAGAGAAGATAAGTGACTCTCCTATGGTTACCTAGGTAATAAAAAGTATCAGCAGCAAGATTTAAACCATCTTCCAGACTTCCATGCCAGTGTTGTTTCCACTGTAACGCATGTACCCAAAAGGAACGAGAAACATCACGTCATGAAACCTTTGTTCATCCCACTTTGCAATGTTTATAGTGAATGCAAGTAAACAGACAATCTTGAAGGCAATTGTGGTTTAATATACAAACATCTATTGAGAAGAGAAAGAAGCAGCAATGTTCCACAAAGATCTTGAAAAGGTCCTCCACATTAAGTCAACATATACTTTAATATTTGATGACTTCATTGTAAAAGCAAGTGTAGTGAAAGATGTAGAAACCTGGTCTGGAAATCATGATTCAAGATCAAGAAAGGAAAAAGGCTTTACAGATACTCAAAATCTTTGCCCCTGTATATCATGAAATTGATTCTTCAAGAAGAGGTTTGGAGGACACTGGACCTGATGAGCACTGAACATCATCATTGTCATAATCACTGACATTGTCATTGTCTTTTAATATAAAAGAAATGACCATCTATAGGCATGGAGACCCTTTGAATCCGTTTGCTAAAGGAAGAGGGTTTTGTGTTTTAGACTACTGATATGAGAAGAAAGATGAAAAATGAAGTGAAGGATAGCAAGGTGATATGGGTAATAGCCAAAGCAATTTTGTCACCTATAATTATCAAACCTAAAATCATTTTCAAAAACCAGGAAAGGAGGGGGCATAAATTAAAAGAGTGTTCTATGGTTTTACTTAACCAGTCTGAAGATCAACTTACAGGAAGGGATAGAAACCACTGGAAGTATCCTCCTTGCTCCCCCTCCTCAAGTGAATATTGCAGTCACTTTCTGAATTAGCCACAGTCAGGCAGTACACATTAACCCAATTATTTTGATATTTTAAGAGATGGTGTTTTATGTCCCTGGATTATCTAGACAATTGAAATAGATCTCTACTTCAATTTGTCTGGAAGGAAAACATAGCCTCCATGTGAGGTCAATGTGATGACTTTCTATAAAGCATTTCAAGCTATTGCATACTAAGAATTGCTTTCCAATGAGAAAATCATTTTAAAATCCCCAGAGGGAAGCTTGAATAGTCATGATCCCTGGGAATAGTATTCATTGCTTGGATCTTATCTGATTCACACTTCCAAATAGCCTCCACAAGGACAGTGAGTGAGAATATTCTGGCTTTGGCTCTGTCCCCATCTGGGACATGGATCCTGAAGAGTTGTAGGTAGTTTGGACTGTTTAAATACAACAGAACAAACCCAAAGGCTTCTGACTCATTGGTTAAAAAAAGGAATAAGTATTTTCTATACAGCATATCAGAAGGCAAACCCTATATTCAATGAATAAATATGTGAGTGAACCATTGGTTGCTTCTCAGAATTCCATCGTAATATTTATATTTTATCTATTAAAATTTACAAGGAAATTTACTCGCACAAAACCTCCAGGATAAATACATAGAAAGAAGAGGAAGAGAGAGGAAAAAAGACTTTTAATTGAAAAATATGACAAATCATAATGGGAATAATAATAGCACCTAACTCACAGGGCTGTTGTAGGGGTGCAAATGAGATAATGTACATGAAAGTACTTTGCAAACCTTAAAGCCCTTCATAAATGCCAGCTATTGTTACCATTATTAATATAGCTCAAGTTAATAATCTACCCTTATTCAACTCAATTTAACATTTATTAACTGCTATGGGAGATGCACAGTACTAAGGCATCCAAAAAGATATAAAGATACACAATACATGCTTTCTCTAGGAAATCAAATGTGTGCACAAATAATTCAGATAGAAAAATTTTAAATTATAGATATAAAACCTTGGCTCAGCATACCCTGTTTTAATGGCCATAAAGTTATTTCAATTGACTAGTACTGCAGAACCAGATCTTGGTCAGGAAATCAGGCCTTAGTGACAGGGAAGAAAACCTGGGTGAAATTGGGGTGCAGAAGAAAAGCCTTAACTTATGTGTAAGAGATTCAACAATAGCAGTGTTTTGTGTGTGTGTGTGTATGTGTGTGTTGTGGGGAGAGGGATGAAACATAGTGAGATCAGTCAAGCAAGTCTCAACCAGTCATATAAACATAAGAAATCAGTAGGATTTGTAGGTGTTTTGCAAAACTGGCAGCTATAGCTAACGATTTAGACAATCATCTTGTGCTGTGAGCAACCAGCTGTTTCAGGCCTGCTCTTCCTACCCAGCAATGATCTGCCAAGAAGTCTCAGCTGGTGTTGACAATAAATGGTAAGAAAAATGCAAAGTCTTGGGAGAGTTCTAAGGAAGAAATGGTCATTTCTCGTGGAATCTCTCACCTAGCACATCAGGTTCAAGGAAACTAGGAAAAAATTGGTTAAAAAAGATGTGAACATAAGTAGTTTCTTTCATTAGGATGATGAGTACTTTTTAGAAGCTCAGTTTGGTTATTTTGAGTTACAAGAAATGACCAAACTGATCAATTATGATGGAAGTAATAGGTCAAAAACATGACACTTTTACATAGCACCAAGGAATGTACACAACTCAAGATTCTTCCAGTAAGAAGTTGATCCTTTGGGGAAAACAATGAGGAGAAAATCCACACCAACCGAAAGTCAACTTTGTGACCCCTTGAGCAAATGAAACATAAACGTCGAAGGCCCAAACTGTTAAAATTTGAACTCCCCATCTCAATGTTTGATCTGTTTGCTATGAAAAACTCATGATTATTTCTAAATGTTTCCTTTGTTCCTGCTCTACATGTGTGTGTATGTGTATGTGCGTGAATTATGAAAGATGTAACACTTCTACATAGCACTGAAGAATTCGCAGATCCAGATTCTTCCAGTAATAAACAGATTTATTTTGGGAAAACAATGAAGGAAAATTCCACACCATGATGTATATATCATAGCAAGTAAACTAGTTCCCCTCCTTTGTTTTTAGAATCTGGTTACTTCACTTCTCAAATTGTGAGAAATATTTAAGCTTTTTGCTATGGTAATGAAGAAGAAAGTAGTATTATTTGATGAAAGGAGAGGAGAACAAGAAAGCAATAAAGAGGCCAAATGCAGACAAGACGGCACAGGAGAATAAATGAAAAATGAGATATTTTAAATTGCCTAGGAGATAACAGTCTACATTTACTGCCACATACCACTGGTTATAAATATATTCACTATACAGATTTTATTAAAAATCACCTCTTTAGTCTCACAATAAATACTTTGGGATTTCTGTTGTTGTTGTTACTGCTGTTGTTTCCTTAGACCTCAGTATTTTTGAAGGATGGGGTTTTTTTTCCTTAAACTCCTTCCTGAATGATACCATGTAGTTCCAGTCAAGTCATTACATTTTCACCTTTTAGCATCTCCTGGCAATCTAATACACTGTTATGCACTCTATAAAGCCACAAGTCTTACACTTTGAAAGTTTTCTTGCTTATTCTGTACTGTTCTGTTCAGACTTCTTTATGCTGCAAAAATCTAACATCTGTTTCAGGTACTCTAGAAAGGAAATTGCATAGAATTCTATTTTAGGGATGTCCTTCTCAGAAAATGCGTATTTGCCAACAGAAAAACCACAGAATCATTGCGGACTTTTTAACCTTTTATACTGGTGGTCAGTGGTTAATGGGATGGTAAAGAATAAGAAAAAAAAGATTACTTTTGAAGAGCATTTTTTGAATCAAGCACATTAGAAGAGACAGCTGCTGAGTCGACATGAGTCTCCTTTTTTTATTTGTCCAGAAATCACGACAAATTACTTTCGAGTCTTCTCAACTTACAGTCAACTTTGTAACTCCTCAAGCAATGAAAATATAAATGCCCAAAGATAAAAATGGTAAAATGTAAACTCCCCATCTCAAAGCTCCATGTGTTTGCCATGTATGATATTTCTATGAAAAACTCATGATTATATCTGGACATTTTCCTTTTTTTCCTAGTCTGTATGCGAGTGTGAATTATTGGTCATGTCCATGAAATGTATTTATGTTCTTCTAATTTCAGCATGTGGCAAGTTGATGAAAATCACAGGTCCTATTACAGTCAAGACATCTGGAACCCGGTTTGGAGCTTGGATGACAGATCCTTTAGCATCAGAAAAAAATAACCGAGTATGTTATTGTCCCAATGCCTTTGCCTTTCTTTAAAGTTTTCTTTACACTTTAACTTTACAAGGATATAAACTTTCTTCTGGGGTATGCAGTTCATCTTAGAAATATATTATTTCTTTCACGTATTTTGCATTATTTATGATACTAGCCACTCCAATGGAGAATGTCCTAATTAGTGTGGTACAGTATTCCTCCCTAGAAATCTTCAATCTCATTGAATCTAGTTTTTTTAAGTCTTATTTGCATGAAAAATCTTGGGAAACAATTCATTGAAATTATATAGATTCTTTATATTTATATTTCTAAAATGTATTCATTGAAGGAGAGATTGCTTGATGCAGCAGAGAGTGAGATAGAGTCAGGATCTAGATTCAAAACCTGCCTCTGCACTTGCTTTTGGGAAGTCATTGGGACCTCAATTTCCCTATCTATAAAATGAGGAGGTTGGACTGGATGACTTCTAAGGTCTCTTCGAGCTTTTCGTCTCTTATGCAATTCTACAAGCTCCTATGAACTTACACAGTGAAGAAATGACAAGACAATAGATAATGGGCAACTCACCAAATGAGAAAAGGGGATAGTGAAAAGAGTGATAAAGGTGGAATCAGAGCATCTGGGTACGAATAATGGCTCTGCCACTCACTATCTGAATGACCTTGACCAAGTCATTTAAGATCAATAGACCTATGTTTTCTCACCTATAAAATGAGAGGGCTAGGCTAGCTTACCTCTAAGGTGCCTTCTAGCTCTAAAGCTATGATAGGATGCCAGGTGAAATGCTCCAGGTGACACCTTGAGATAGTATTGAAAATCTTCTTGTTTTTCCCTCTGATATTTTCATGAATTGGGAATTGCAAATCACTACATTGAAACTTTGGAAAAATGCTATTTGGATTTCCAAATTCAGTATAGTTTAACATTTTGGGAACCCGATCTAAGGTGTTTTGGTTACTGAAGTAAAAGGTAAAAAAAGAAATCATTATGAGGCATTTTCTCATAATAAACTCATCCAATGTACCATAAAGTTAGTGTTAGAGTGATGCTTCCATACATTCATAATCTAAAGGCAAACAAGATACTTGAAAAATAGTCCTTAGACCATGAAATCTTAGACCTTTCTTTAACATGTAGATTCTTGCTCCAGATGAGGAGCTAGAGTAAATATAAATCACTCAAGGTAATTTTTCCCCATAATCATCAGCAACTATGTCAACACATTTGAATTATGCAAATGAAAATGATCACCTCAGGTATGTTGAATATAATTTTACATGCAAGGGTATGAGTCAGAGGACATGGGTTCAAGTTATATCTCTTCCATGTATTGCTTGTGTGACTGTAAACAAACCAATCTCCAAGACCTTACCTTACTTATCTGGAAAATAAATGGGCTAGATCAGGAGTGGGGAACCTGTGGCCTCAAGGTCTCATGTGGCCCTCTAGGTCCTCAAGGGTGGCCCTTTGACTGAATCCAAACTTCACAGAACAAATTCCCTTAATAAAAGGATTTGTTCTGTAAAACTTGGATTCAGTCTAAAGGCTGCACCCAAGGACCTAGAAAGCCACATGTGGCCTGAAAGCCACAGGTTTCCCACCCCAGGCTAGACTATGTGATCCCTGAGGTCCTTTCTAGCCCTAATCTATTATTATAAGATCAATATAATGAGCTGTATGACAATAACAAAGGAGAGAAATTTTTACTATTAACCAATCAATTCAAACAATATATTTGCAAAAACAATTAGCACAGTATCTGACACACATGTTTGTTCCCCTTCCCAACACTTATTTAGGGGTAGCTAAAATGTCTGCAAATGCTTTAGACCCTTCTTTTAATTTTATTTTTTGGAAGAGGGTCAAGAACTGTAATTTCATTGGCATAGGAAAAACACTTAATGAAACAAGTCTCTATACCAGTGTAGATCATCTGCTGTTTCTTAGAAAATTGACAGACACTAAAAGGTCATACCCAGGGCCACATGACCAAATGTGTCATAGGCAGGACTTGAATCCAGGTCTTCTTGACTCTGATGCTGACTATCTACTAAGGTATAATATCTCTCAGATCTTTCTTATAACATAATAATTAAATTGAATGATTTCAACAAATTTTATTAAGCATCTACTGTTCAGATACCAAAGCTGGATACCAAGAATACACTAAATTAAGATACTTCTTGCCCTTTAGGAGTATATAGTCTACCAGAGGAAAATAAAATAGTATATCAAAGCAGGAAAATAATTTAGTTTTCAAAATCTTTACACATATATATGTGTGTGTGTGTGTGTGTGTGTGTGCACGTGTACATACACACATATATACACACATATACACACATACATATACATATATATAAATCTGTATTAATATCTCCTGATTTTCATGTTTTTAGATTCTGTGATGAGTATCCAAATAAGTTATTTTTTTTTATTCTCTCCAGGTTTGGTACATGGATAGTTACACTAACAATAAGATTGTCCGTGAATATAAATCAATTGCGGACTTTGTCAGTGGAGCTGAATCAAGGACATATAATCTCCCTTTCAAATGGGCAGGGACTAACCATGTAGTCTACAATGGTTCCCTCTATTTTAACAAGTATCAGAGTAATATCATCATCAAGTACAGCTTCGATACAGGGAGAGTACTGGCCCAGCGGAGCCTGGAGTATGCTGGCTTTCATAACGTCTACCCTTACACATGGGGTGGCTTCTCTGACATCGATCTGATGGCTGATGAGATTGGACTGTGGGCAGTATACGCAACCAACCAGAATGCAGGCAACATCGTCATCAGCCAGCTTAACCAAGATACCTTGGAGGTAATGAAGAGCTGGAGTACTGGCTATCCCAAGAGGAGTGCTGGAGAATCCTTTATGATCTGTGGGACCCTATATGTCACCAACTCCCATTTAACTGGAGCCAAGGTTTATTACTCTTATTCCACCAAAACCTCCACATATGAGTACACAGACATCCCCTTCCATAATCAATACTTTCATATATCCATGCTTGACTACAATGCAAGAGATAGAGCTCTGTATGCCTGGAATAATGGACATCAGGTCCTGTTCAATGTCACTCTTTTCCACATCATTAAGACTGAGGATGACACATAAGTGTTGTTTTATTTTTATTTTATTTTATTTTTAATTTTTCCAATTATCTTAGTGTCATTTGTGATAAACTCTAAAGCACCTCATGTTGTTTTTTTTTATTTTCTGTAGTATGTGTTTTTTTTCATCATTTGCCAAAAAGCATTTTATACTATAGAGTGTATCAAAAAAAAAAAAAAAAAACACCCAAGACTGTCCTAAGATGACTCGTTGGAAATGCATCTTAATTATTGGATCTGCAAGGTCTATTATGACCTTGTGTAAAAAAGCACTAAAGAGAGTTTGAGTGACTAAAGTCATAGTTTTCAAAAGATTGATGATTTGCCTTATATTTGAGTCAGAGACTAATGGTGGCTTAAATGCATGAATGTCTTTTTTTAACTTCTGTCCTTTTTTTAATCTGTCAACTTCTTGCTCCACATCAGGAAATATTTTGGTAGTAATTGAAACTGAAAAAAGTACTTTCCCCCATTTATTTCTTAAAAGACAAAAAAAATCAAGGATCTGGTTTACTTGGGAAAATTAATGTCCATCATTTTGCTGTTACCTAATTCTCTGATGCGGTGCTGTAAAGTACATTTTTAAATCTCTTGCTAACATTTTACTGGCAATATGTATTTCTACCATTGTAACCACCATTGTGCAATTGTATCTCTTCTCTTCTGTGAAAGTAAACTAAGTACTATTTTTTATAAAATACATTGAAGTTGAATCTCAGTGATGACTATGGATGGGTTTAGAAGGATAGTCAAGAAGGGATTATATTCTCAGCTTGGTCCCTTTCTGTAAGCACTGTAAACCTCAAAAAGATAATTGGAAAAAGTCCTTTTCTATTAATTCCTTTCAATTCAAATGGATTTAAAAAGCATCACCTAACTATGTAGCACATGCAAGGCACTGTACTAAGGATAGAAAGGCAAAAATGAAAAACCACCCCTACCCTCAAGAAACTTACACTCTACTGGAGGAATACATGATAAACACAAATAAAACAAAAGATAATCTCAAAGCAGGAATTTTACGCTCCAGGTGTATAATGAATCATTGACAAGTAAGAATGACAAAAGTAGCCCAGTATAGCTGGTTTGATGCAATAGTTATTGTCTACCTGTCATTTTAGTTGTCTGCAGAATCCCCAAAGCATATATTGGAATTAATCTTCCCATATCTCAGGCAAACAGGAAAGTTTACACTTTGTGGTCAAATATTTTACCCCTTAATTGACTGTTAACAATCAGGAGCAAGAGGATAAGTACACATACTCAGATTCTCATACTGTAGGAGGAACATAACACGATTGTCAACATAAATTTCTCAAAATATTCTCAAGAAACATTATGAGCATTGGGAAAACATGCAGTAGGTCTATACAACAAAACAAAAATTGAAGTCTTGCTTATTATCTGGGTTTCCAATAGAAAGTGGGGGAGTAGCGCAGCATCTGCTTATCTTCTATAAGCCATTATCTTTGCTAAACGAATTTGCCCCTCTCGGGAGAAAAACTTCAGTGCTATTTTCCTATGCTAAAACTCAGAACTTGCAATTAATGTAAGCTGACAGGATAATTATATTTTAACCATAATTCTACAAAGTGGAAGACCATAGAATCACAGAAATTTGGAAGTAGCAGGAATCTTTGGGCCCATTTTACCCAGTTCATATCTGAATAAGAATCTCTGCTCTAACACATCTGATAGATGGTCATCTAACCTTTAGTGGATGATCTACCTTTTGTGGGAAGTGGTTACTTTCAAAGGAAGGTCATTTATTCCACTTTGTGATAGATTTAATTGTGAGGATCCTCTTTCAATCTCCACTACTCCTAGTTCGGTCTTCTGGGATCAAGTAGAAAAGGTCTAATCTTCTCTCTAGGTGACAGCCCTACAGATACTTTAAGAAAGCTATCATGCCTCCCTGTAACCATTACCCATTTTCAAAAATAAAGTTTGGGGGGCAGCTAGGTTTCTCAGTGGATAGAACACCAGCCCTGGAGTCAGGAGGACCTGAGTTCAAATCCGGTCTCAGACCAGACACTTGACTTACTTAATTCACTTAAACCTAATTGCCTAGGGGGAAAAAAGCCTACTTGTGAATTAAATATACAATGAAGGAAGCCACATTCATTTTGGGGCAGCTAGGTGGTACAGTAGATAGAGTGCCAGCCCTGGAGTCAGGAGGTCCTGAGTTCAAATTTGACCTCAGACACTTGCCACTTACTAGCTGTGTGACCCTGGGCAAGTCACTTAATGCCATTGCCTAGCCCCCCTCCCCCCCCAAAAAGATACAGTTTTGGGAAATTGACATGTATTACCAATGGCAGACATAAGGTATTTAGTTTGGTGTTTTGTTTTGTAATTTTAAAAAATACACACACATATATATGCATGTATGTATATATGTATATGAATATGGATGGATGTATATATATATATACACATATATATATACATACACATATATGTATATATAAACAATATGCTAGATTCAGATAAACATAATGCTATATTTACACTAATAGTGAAAGTCATGCAAAGTACTGAAAACATAAATGTTAATGTTTAAAGTTAAGATCTCAAATTAAAGTCAAATTCATCAGGAAAAATCATTATTTATTGACATTTTGACATTGGAAATTGCAAGTGTAAATCTTTCTGCTTATATTCAACTGGTTTTTCATTCTTTAATGAAGATTGTATCCATACTTATATGAGGGTACCATAAATTTCAGTAAAAAATCAGTAGTTTTCAATTTGGGGAAATTCTGATTACTTGTATTTGAAAAAAAAAAACCTGTCTTTTCCCTCTGTACTAGAGAAGATCAGTGACTTCTCTTTCAAAAGATTCATCCTTAATAGTATGGGTTACTCTGGTAGCAAGACTTGAAAAATCCCGGAAGATTCAAACAACCAAGGCATTTATATTTAGCCCAATAAAAAAATCATCAGATATGGATGACTTGGGATAGCAAGTCTTTGTAATGAGGAAAGAAGAAAGCTGCATCACTCCCAAAACAAAAGCTTTCTAAGTGGGTAGCTTCAATTAGATATATGATTCTTCACTTCCTTTTCCAGAATTGCTATCATGTGGTACATTCAACCTCAAGATGATTGCAGTTTATTTGCCAGGTGCACAGTTCTTAAAACACTTTAGGATCTCAATTTAAATTTCTTCATTGTTACATTGAGTGGGGATAGCATGAGCTTTTGTGTGATTTGTATTAAGCATAAATAGAAATTCACTTTTTTCTTCAATGATTATCATGATAGTATCTGAGATGAAAAGCAACTTACCCAAAAACCTGGTACTCTCAAACTTTCCACCAAGGGAATACACTTTATAGAGACCGATTTCACATTTCTGAAAGCTGAACTGATGGAAATGGATATTTAACAATACCAAACATTTATATGACACTTTAAGGTTTGTAAAGCATTTTACATCTATCTTTAGATGGATAGGTAGATTACTTCATTTGATCTTCCCAATAACTCTGTATATTATCCCCATTTTATAGCTGAAAGAGATTATGTGACTTGCCCATGGCCACCTAGCCAATAGAAGTTAGGATTTGAGCACCAATCTTCCTGACTCCAAGTTCACGACTTGATCTGCTGTGCTACTCTAATCAGTATTACAGCAATACCAGGTAATTCATAGACTAGAATGAATCCTTTTTAACTCTCTCTTCACTGATGTCCCTGCTGATATAAATCAAATTTTCTACATAACTGGCAAATATCTAAGTCAGATGAGGTATGTAGCCATAGCCTAGGAAACAATAACAATCACTATTTAATAGGTGATCATTTAAAAAATGTATCTATATGCCTATTATTGACTTCATCTATGATTTCATTAGTATAGAGCAATGGTATCAAATTCAAATAGAAATGGGGGCCACTAGACCATGTAAAAGGATCTCTGTGGACCACATATTTACTTATAAAACCACATATTAACATTATTTATATCCTGTTACATTTTTTTTATTTTGTTAAATATTTCCCAATTACCTTTTTAGCTCTCAAGTGTTGTAGGCAATGCAGGCTTGCACATTTGATATCTCTGTCTGTGTAAAGGACTCTTGGATGAGGGAACCTCTTTTATTAATTTAGGTTGATACCTTCTCTGCAACTTACAGTCGTAGAGAATTACCCAGAGCACTGTACGGTTAAATGACTTGCCTAGGGTTACATAGTCAATATGTGTCAGAGGCAGTAATTGAACTTACTCCACAAGGCTGGTTCTCTGTCTTATCATGTCCTTCATATAATACCTCAAAGTGTGCAAAGCATGTTATATATAGGATTCATTTTAAGGTTTGTAACAACCTTGTGAGATAGGCACCGAAGTTTTTATTCATATTTTATAGTTGGGAAAACTGAGATTCACAAAGGTCATGTATTTTACCCAAGGTCACATAATGATTAAGAGCAAGAGGTAGGGATTAAAACCTACGTCTTCTTGTTTCCAATTCTAACATTGCCTCCCAAGAGATAATAGAATAATGATGCTGATGACTATTTTGTGTTTGGTGGCTTATCAGTTCATACAAAAGATATCTGTGAAATAGATTTTCATCTTGCAATATATTCTCAACATGTAGACCAAAATGCAAATAAAATGATAATTACTTAGAAGTAACATGAGAAGAGATAAACAAAGAAATTAAAATAACCTAAGACATTTTATACCAAAGTTCATACTTAACTGTATAAGTCAAACGGTTCATTTAATCAGATAGCATCCAATTTATCTCAATTATAATATCAATGACATTCTTGATGATGAATCCATATTTTTTTAGAAATAAAGGAAAAGGTGACAATGTCTTCCTGGTTTCTTTTCCCAGAGGCAGTAATAGAGATCTGGCCTAGTAGCCAGAAATATTTCGGTTCAAGGTCCTCTTTTGTCAAATACTATCTTTGTGACCTTGAGGAAATGGAGTCACTACTCAGTGCTATTGGCAACTCTTTAAGCCTGTAAGCTGCAGAGAAGACACC